AGGAGGAGGGGTGAGGGAGTGGGGGGGTGCGTGTGTGTAATGAAAAAGGGAAAACTAATTTAACAAAAGTCACATTTCGCTACAATTCCATGGCTTAACAGTTTACTAGCCAGTGAACAGCATTCATTCTTCAGACAGTAGCTACTATAAATGCATGGGAAAACCTCAACCTTCAATCGAGATTTCAGTTTTATTGGTTTAACAACAGAAGAGAGATCAGAGAGGGTCGCAAAGGAAAGTGACAGAGACAGAACAAAGAGCCACGAGTTTTACATTCTCCATCCATTACAAAATGCATGTGCATGCCAGATCAGCTAGAGGAGAAGCAAGATGGGAAACTGGGATCCTGTACAAGAGAGAGATTTAGCACCAGAAAGGAAAATAAAAGCTACAGTTCATAGAAAAGTCATGTGGAAGGAGATAGCAGTAGTCAGAGCGGCAGGGACAGGACTTAAACTGGAGTCATGTTACCAACACAGTTCACAGAGCACCCTATGAAATACTGCAACAGCACAACTGTAGAGGATGTACAGTGGCAAACCAACACCCAAGCAATTCTTTAAGTTTATATTCCCCAACAGGTCCTATATCATTAATTTCTACCCTGACGTTCATTTTAGTTCACTTTCTTCAATCTTACCTATTTCACTTTCAAAAACAAACAAAAACCCAACACACTTAAGCACACACACAGAAAAGGAAGGTACTTCGGCAATTACCTTATTCTACCATTTCCTATCCCTTTCCCCTATCCTCCTTCCCCTTCAAATCCCTAGATAACAACTTATATAACTTTTTGCCACTACACACTTGAAGAAAACTGCAAGCAATCCATCTAGAAATGTTCCCATCTTATTTCCTCTGGCAACCATTCTGTGTCTTTGAGTTGAAATCTATATATGACAATGCTGATCAAAACAGAAAGATCTAGGAGGAGCTATAAGAGAAGCAGCTGTTTTCTTCTTGATCTCTTAATCTCAAGTTTCTTTCTTGCTATATCAAGTAACAATAATACTCCATAAAAGGTATAAAAAAGATATATATTATTTATATTAGTGTATATATATAAGCAACAGTCTTCAGTACTGATTTTTTAAGAATTTCTTTCATCTATCAAAACATGTCAATCTACTGATTCACCTTTCCTGTTCGCATGAGAAAAATTCCAGGCAATCAAATGAAAATACAAGCCATGAAAATATATTCATTAATGTACTCCCATAATCTTGCTAAGACAGGAATAAAAATTAATGGAATGGATTGACATTGAAAATATACCTCTTATTACCATAGTGGCCAAACAAAATTCTTACAAAACCACATCACTGTACAAGGCAAAAAAAGACAACATCACTGTTCAACTTTAACATCACACAATAAATCTGAGATCACAAAACTGACCATGCATGTTAACTTTTCTACATTGTTCTTTATAGACAAGTTTTTTAAAAAAACAAACCAAACAAACAACAAAAAAAACCCCAAACTAATCATATCACTCATTCACCAATATGCTTCTGTAAAAAGAAACTTGCAAAAACTAAAGGTACGTTTATATCCCCAAATGTCCACAAAGCTCAGACAGAGGCCTGGACTGATCTCCCACAGTCCTTCTTCCTTCAACATCATTCTCACACCTGTCTCTTATGCCAAAGTGTCTCCACATGTGTCCTCCCCAAACTGCTTGTCTCAGATCTTTTTCTTTTCTCTACAAACTTTATGCCATATCTTCCCCAACAGTGGTTTTGTTTGTCACCTTTCTCCTCAGCTCCAGAGGATACACTCCTGCCCATGTCTCTCTACCAGCATCACTTTTTCTCCATGTCTATGTCTGAAATCCAACTCAAGAACAATGTCTGCTTAAGAAGATCCCTATCTATGTCCAGCTGTTCCCACCCTCTCATGACCACTGCAACATGATAGGGAACTGATCCATCTCAAGAATTTTTTGCTCAAGTTACTTGACAGCTAGATCATTTTCCCAATCCAGTTCATATATGGTTGTACTAACATGTGTGCTGCAACGGCGCAAGGGAGAAAATGAGTAGCATGGGGAGGGGGAAAATGCCGCTTAAGTTGGTTTACACCTTTCTGCAATCTGCAGATGTAATGTGATGTTACAGCTGTGTCAATCTAGCAGGTAGCTGCCACTAAAGCTGTCAGACTCCCTCCCCTGCTCACTTTTGATCTTTGGTCCCCATTTCTCCCATCTCATGCAGCTAGAGATCAAGAGTCCAGAGAGTTAAATTGATTCAGCTGGCTGATTTGTCAGGAAACTATTCTTTCCATCCAGATAAACTGACCCACCTTGTGGCCACATGATCGCTATACTCCATGAAAAGGAAATAGGAATGCCTGGTAGGGAGCACACGACTCACTACTAGCTTCAGTTTACATCATTTTGCTATGATGTCTAAATGCACCATGAACATAACAGCCTAAGTTTTCTTGTGTATGAGTACACTAATCTCATGAAATAGCAAGTAAAAGCCATTGTGGTAGAGCCTCTCATCTACAGACAACTGTAAAAATATCTGAAGCTGTGGCTTTGCTGAACAGATGACAAGGGTTTCATGTGTCCCTCATTACACTCTTCTCAGCCTCTGCTTCCCACTTTAATCAACAGATTTCAATTCACTATGCCCAGCAAATTCCTTAAACTGTTGGAATTCATTAGACATGTGATGAAGTGCATTAACACAGTGTTGTAAATGCTATCAAGTGTAAAACTCACCAGCTCAACTAATAAAACAGTATTTTGTAGCTTACTGTAGAACTGCAGAGAAAGAGGGAGAAGGGAAGCCGCAGGGAGAACCACTCCCTGCAGTTTCCCTTAGTTGTATAGCTGCGTATGGGTGGCCAAAGCCTAGATCCTCTTTTAAAATCCTCATAAAAACATATACATGTATTTGCATATAAAACAAAGCTGAAATTATTCAAAATCATATTCTTCCTGTTGCACATTCAACTCGAAACACACAGATTTCACAGTTAAATCTGAATATAATCTGAAATACATGAAGTAGACAGCTAAGCCTGCACTGTATTCAACACATACTGACATTTTCTAAAGTCACTAGATTAGACGA